AAAATCACAAAAGTCGTAATAAATCCTTCCATAGAAAGTCAATCACTGATTTATAGCCCTCCTTACTGGGAGAATGCCCATGATTCTAAATGGTCTTAAAGTTAGGCATTTTCATCCTAATTCTCTAAAACTTCCTGAAACATGGTTTCTTTCTAGAATTATATGAACACATTTTAAGCTAATCATTTAATTTCAGCAAAGAAAATAGGTTATACTTTAGAGAAATTACTTAAATGTTATTTTCATATAAATTTATTTCAGCTGTTCTGTTCTTTTTACTTAATCTTTCCATCCTCTAAAAAAAAGCAAAGTCATTCCTAAAATTGCAACTATGTGGGGTTATGGATATATTAACTAATCTTATTGTAGTAATTATTTTACAGTATGTACATATGTCAAATCATTACGTTGTACACCTTAAATTTGCATGTTACATGTCAGTTATATATCAAAAAGGTTGAAAAAATTAAAAGATGTGTTAATATTAATAAGTCTATTAATTAGCAAAATGGAATCTCTTAATAGATTCCTCATGTATAAAGAGTAAAAAATTAAAATTAAAAAAAATGTTTTAGGTTATTTCTAGCATACTTGTGTCCTGAGGTTGATCAGTCAAGAATGTATTTTGTTAAAAATTTTTGGAAGACTTTTACTAAGACAGTGATTTATATACTGAAATTATTGACAGGTTAATTTAATGTGATAAGGAAATTAAGAAATGGATATTTAATATATATCTTTTACATGAATATTTGAGTATATTAATTTTTCAATTGGTATAAAAATGGGTATAAGATATTTAGTTTTCTTCAGTGTTTGCGAATCACTTTCCCTTGAATTTCTTTTCTTTTCTTTGCTTTTTTTTTTTAAATTTCATGAGTTACCATTAAATAAACATAGACTAAGTTGAATGATATGGCCTACATTTTGATAATTTTTTAAAAATCTTACCTTTGAACAATATGATTTTCTTGGGAAGATTTTTCATTGTATTTTTTATCAAGGTATGATTACATATAGGAAGTTTCACCTATTTTATTCTACATCTCTACCTATTTTAACAAATGTATATAGTTGTATAACTACCACCACAAGATATACAAGTTCCATCATGCTAAAAAACTCTCCCATACTCGTTTGTAGTCAGTTCCTCCCTTATCTCTGAGAGCTAATCTATTTTCTGTTTTGCAAGAATATTATATAAATGGAGTGACACAGCATATAGTCTTTTGAACATGGCTTCTTTCACTTAGGGTATTAGAGAGTCATCCAAGTTGCTGTGTGCACACTAGTTTGTCCTTTTTATTTCTAGATAGTATTCCCCTATATGGATGTGTCACAGATTGTTAATCCATTTTGCAGTTGAGGGATATTGGAGTTGTTGACAGTGTTTGATGATTATTAATAAGCTGACAAAAAGATTTGTTTTCAAGTTTGTGAGTGAACATAGCTTTCAGCTAACTTGGGCAAACACCTAAGAGTGAGTTGGATGGATTGTACCGTATTCTTAATTTTATAAGAAGCTGCAAAGCTGTTTTCCAAAGTGGCAGTACCATTTTGCATTCCCTCCAGTAGTGTATAGGTGTTAGTTGCTCTACTTGTTTGCCAGCTCATGGTACACACAGTCTCTCTCTTTTCTTTAAGGCGTTCCGTTAGGTATGTAGTTGTATCTCATGGTGGTTTTAATTTTCATTTCCCTAACAACTAATGATGTTGAGCATCTTTGTGCAAATTTTGCCACCTATATATTTTCTTTGGTGAAGTGAAGTATATGTGAAAATCTTTGGTTCATTTTTGAAATCCATTATTTTTTATTGATTGACTTTGAGTTTCTTTGTAATTCTAGATAGAAGTCCTTCATCAGATACAGTGACTTGTAAAAATTTTCTCCCTGTCTCTGACTTTCAAAGAGTGGATATTTTTAATTTAACTTAGGTCCAGTTTATTCATTTGTTCTTTGATTTATTGTGCTTTGGTTTTGTATGTAAGAAATCATTGCCTAACTGAAGGTCACAAAATTTTCTTTCATGCTTATTTTTTTTCCCAAGTTTTAGAATTCTAAGTTTTATATTTATATCTGTGCTCCATTTTGAGAATTTTTTGGTAGAGTGTGAGTTTGGATAAACGTTTTTGTTTTGTTTTGCTTATTTGATGCATATGAGTATCCAGCTGTTCCAGCACTATTTATGTTGGAAAGACTGCCCTTTCTTCACTGAATTGCCTTTTTTACCTTTGTTAGAAACCAACGGGCCCTATATGTTTATAACTGTATCTGGATTATTTTTTTTTATTACCTTCCTTTCCATGTTTATTCTTTCTCCAACACTGCTCTCTTGATTACTGTAGCTGTGTACTAAGTCTGGAAATCAACTATGTGAATCTTCTAACTTTGAAGACAATGTGTATTCTGCTGTGTTTGTGTAGTTTTCTCTTAATGTCAGTTTAGGTTAGTTTAGTTAATAATGTTCACTCGTGCCCTGGGGCACCTGGGTAGCTTAGTCAGTTAAATGTCTGACTCTTGATTTCTGCTCAGGTCATGATCTCACCAGTTTGTGAGAGCTCGCCCTGCAGCATGGAGCCTGCTTCGGATTCTCTGTCTCTCTGCTCCTCTTCTGTGCACACACTCTCTCTTTCAAAATAAACATGTAAATAATAATAATAATAATTAAAAAATAATGTCCATGTCTTCTATCCCTGGTGATAATTTGTCCATTTATCCTATAATTTCCTGGGAGGGTGTGTTGAAGTCTCCAATTGTATTTGTGGATTTGTCTTTTTCTCCTTCAGTTCTATCAGTTTTTGCTTCATGTACTTTGAAGTGATGTTGTTAGGTACATGCATATTTATGTTTGTTATGTCATGCTGGGAAATTGACCCCTTCATAATTAAGTAATTTCTATCTTCATATTTACTCTGAAGTCTGGCTGACATGATATTGATATAGCTATTTCTGCTTTCTTTTGATGAGTGTTTGCATAGTATCTCTTTCCTATAATTTTATTTTTAACATATATATGCCTTTATATTTAAATAGGTTTATTGTACCTAGCATATAGTTTGATCTTGGTTTTTCAATCCAGTCTACTGATCTTTGATTTTGATTAATGTGTTTATAAAGTTTATATTTAATGTAATTACTAATATGATTAGATTAAGATCCACCATATTTTTAACTTTTATTTTTAATCTTTTGTTTCTTCCTCTCTCACATTTCATTTTTGATTATTACATTTTAGTTTCATTATTGATTCTTTTTTCTTTACTGATTATTTAAGTTATTTTATTCATTGTCCTAGGCTATACAATATACATCTTTAATTAATTAGAGTCTACCTTTAAATAATTTCATAATACTTAAGATGTAGTATAAGGACCCAACAGTATTTTTCTAATTTATTCCCCTCTTCTTTGTGCTGTTGTCATGCATTTTACTTTACATATGCTATAAATACAATGCATTGTCAATAGTTTTGCTTTAGATAGTTATCTTTTAGACAATTAAAAATAAAGTTGAGGGGCGCCTGGGTGGCACAGTCGGTTAAGCGTCCGACTTCAGCCAGGTCACGATCTCGCGGTCCGTGAGTTCGAGCCCCGCGTCAGGCTCTGGGCTGATGGCTCAGAGCCTGGAGCCTGTTTCCGATTCTGTGTCTCCCTCTCTCTCTGCCCCTCCCCCATTCATGCTCTGTCTCTCTCTGTCCCAAAAATAAAATAAACGTTGAAAAAAAAATATTTAAAAAAATAAAAATAAAGTTGAATTTTATATTTACCTCTACTTATTCTGTTTCTAAAACCCTTTATTTCTTGTGTATATGTTATGTCTTCCCAAAGTTTTTAAAAATGCGTTGAAATTTTTCTTCTCTATTGGCACATACACCACCAGTTCCTAACTTTTCCTCACTCTGTTAAAAATGGATTGTGAATGGGCAGTAAGGAACATGTTTGATTTCTATAATTCGTTCACACTTACTCAGAATTTCAGAATCATAGGATTGAGTATGTCATAAGAGGTCCTTTAACCTAATATTCAAAGCGTGACAGATTGACTTCAACTGATCTTATTTTAAGATTTATCGGAAGTTCTCTTTCTGAGGTTGTAACTTAAGCCTGCTTGGTCTATGAGCCTCTTTTGTCTCTATTTCATTGTCTTCCTCTCATGTGTAGAGAGGGAACATGAGGATCACACTGTCTGCTTTTTAATATTCTCTTTTTAGTATGTATGTGTCTTTCATGTGTGAAGATAGTTATTGAGTCCTTTCTTGCCATTCCCCATTATACGTAAAACACGTTCTGTGCTTGAGTTTTTTATAGGGAGGTAGATCTACTTTTTCTCTGTATGTCTTTGACCATTTCTATAGTATTTTCTCCTGAACTTCTCACATAATTATTTTTGTTAGGGCATATATAAATAAATGGTAACAGTGTTCACCAAGATGAAAGATCCAGAATCCTTGTGGGACTAATGTTGGCTCTGGGAGAATGCCAGGGCCTCAAATGAATTGTTGTAAATTCACAGGGTCCCCTGTTCGCTTGCCCCTCTCCCTGGAGCCATATGGCTAATTTTACTCCAGACACCTACTTCTAGGAAAGTTCAGGGACTTTGAACGAATTTGGTGGATATCCTCCAAAAGCTATGTTCAGGTAGCATTCATTCAGTGTTCAGGTTTTGCTACCTGGACAAAAGCTATTTTCAGTAGCAAAAGCATTCAGTAGGCTCAGTTATGCCAGAGCCTACTGAATGCAGCAGCAGCCCTGGGCATGTTATTTATATAGGGATGGGCCAGGAGGAAAAGAACAGAATGGAAAGCTAGAATTTTTCTGAGCAAACTGTATTTAGTTGTGAGGAAAAAAAAATACTCTCAACAGTTGGGCTGGTCCTATGGAATAACTTATAAACACTTGTCAGTTATGAGGGTAACTGCAAGAGATACTTATTTTCAAGCTTTCCCCTTGATTTCATGTCCAGAGCATAACATTTTCTTTTTGTCTTTTTCCCCCTCAAGGGGTGCTACATCCATTGTGTACAGATGCAAACAGAAGGGGACCCAGAAGCCTTATGCTCTCAAAGTGTTAAAGAAAACAGTAAGTTTATTTCATTATATAACAGCATCTTTAAGGGATCTGTGACCTGGAGAAATCAGGAACCCTAATTCACAGGACAAAGAGGTCAGAGAATTGCTGTATGCAGCTAACTCATTTGAATCTTTATTATGAGAGTGTAGCCAAATCTGTTGTTTTCTGATGGAAACTGTGTGCCTCTTTGAAAGCAACTGGATCTCAGATTGGATGTGGTTGTTGGGGATAAGTGTGGTAAGAAAAAGCATTTAGAGCTGGGAGATAGAATTTGCTTTGTATACCAGTCAAATTTTCAGATATATCTGTGCGCGTGCATGCGTGTGTGTGTGTGTGTGTGTGTGTGTGTGTGTATTTTATATGTATATAAAATCTCCAATCACAGTTTTATATACTAGAAAATCTTGCTGTTTAAAAATACCTAAGTGAAATACAAATAGAAGTATTTGTGAAAGGAGTCATCAGCTTCTAAGTTGATTTTCAAATGTTGGGTTTGTTTTGGTAGAGTGCAACCAGACTAATGTCATCGTTTCAAGGACTGAGCCTGCTCGTTTAAGAAGTCTCTATTTGAAGGAGGAAGGATTGTATTTTCTTATTGCTTCTTCTTGCCATATACTTGTAGATGAGCTGAGGGGGCAAAGGTACTTAGGCTCATCTCTAATGAGTATGAAATGCAGCAGGTGACAGTTCATGATACAAATGGCAGCATCTAACACTACCTCATGGTAGTTTCTGCACCCGGGGAGTATTGATCACTCTAATACCCTACTGGCACTCTCCGTCCCTAGGGAATTTCCCCTTACAAAACCACAAAAACACACATTCTTCCTTTCTCAAATTCTATGTGAACACATATGTGAAATTTATATACTTCTGAAAACCCAGCTGTAAAGTATGCTGAGGAGAGAAATATAAATTTTGTAGTCAAGTAATACCTCTTTTAGGCCAAGGGATTTTTTTTTAAGTCAGCTTAATATCACCAGCTGTTTATGTATATTGTCTGGCACAGGGAAATTTTAGAATCTCATATAATGAAGAAGAGAATAATGGCATGGGATTTTTTTCTATTGAGAAGTAGAATGACATTTTGAAATAATCTGTTAGAATTTAAAGTCACAGCAAAATAACAAAGAGTCTAATTGAAAAATAATTTAATAATTTAAATGGCAGTTGCTGCTATAAACCCTATATTCTGGATTTCCTACCTGGTGTAGGCAATGATTTAAGGTATTCCAGAATGTAGAGAAATCTTCTGATTGGTAAGTTTTGGTGTTTTCTCTTAAATCAATTTCTTAGAGTCATAACATTTATTTGAATTAGGATTATTAAAATTTTATGAAATGAACTTCCTATTAAATATCTGCTTTCTATGAAAATAAGTTGGCATGCTCTAGCAGTGGTCACACAAGAGATGTTTCTGGACTTGGCTATCTTCTTTCCTGCTGGTTAAAAAAAATTGTCAGTAAAATTTATAAGTGGTTATTTTATTTTCGTAGTTGAGGAAACTCTGAAAAGGATTCGCTGTATGAATGTCTAGGAAAAGAAACACTCAAAACTGACATCAGAGTGCTCAGAATCCCAAAAGACAGAGGGCTGGTTTAGAAAATATTGGATTATGTAAAAAATCTTTGAATGAATTGGAATAAGGGACAGGCGAAGACATTTGGTGAGTTTGTGGCTCATTCATTGGGAAACTAAAGCTCTGGTTTGCCCTTGCTGTCTTCTCTTCTCCACCTCTGTTGTGGAAACATCTTCCCTAGAAGACAGGCAGGAAGAAAATGTGGATGGGAACCAAGTGTCAGATGAGCTGCAGAGCGGTGCTAGAAGGCAGATGTTGTCAAACACAGTCAAACACAGTTACTGCTGTGCCAAATGGAATAAGAGAAAATCCCCTGGGGAAACCCAAGTTTTGAACGTCAATTGGGTGGAATTTCCAGCATTGTCTCCTAGAATAAACTATTCACAGAGATGTGTAAACAAGAGAAATAGCAGGCAAAATCTCAGAAAGCAATTGCCTCCAGTGTTTAATTTCATATAGGTCATGAAGATACAACTTCCTTATCTAAATGAAATAAATGAATGAAGCCTAAGAATCTATTTAGAGAAGAAAAGCAATGCAGGGAAAATAAAGTATTTTCCTAGTGAATTCAGTTAAAGATCTCTTTCAGGGCAAAGGGGGCTTTAGGGGTGCCTGAGTGGCTCAGTCAGTTAAGTGTCTGACTTTGGCTTAGGTCATGATCTCATGGTTCGTGAGTTCAAGCCCTGCATCAGGCTCTATGCTGATAGCTCAGAGCCCAGAGCCTGCTTTGGATTCTGTGTCTCCCTCTCTCTCTGCCACTCATCTGCTCGTGTGTTTTCTCTCTCTCTCTCTCTCTCAAAAATAAATAAACATTAAAACAAAAGAAAAAAGAAAAGGGGGCTTTAGAAAACTTGAATTATTTATGTAATCTATTTATTAGATTGAGCCACATGAAACTGCCTCTATTAAATCATTTTTTTACCTACAAAAATGGTAATTTTAAGGCACTTGCGGGGCTCAGTTGGTTGAGCATCCAACTGTTGATTTTGGTTCAGGTCATGATCCCAGGGTCGTAGGATTGAGCCTCGTATTGGGCTCAGCTCTGAGTGTGGATCCTGCTTAAGGTTCTCTCTCTCTCTCTCTCTCTCTCTCTCTCTCTCTCTCTCTCTTTCTTCCCACCCCTTTGCCCCTACCCCCTCTAAAATTAAAAAAAAAAAATTTTAATGGTAATTTTATGTGGTTCAACTAATAACTTTGGGACCACTATACTGCTTCACTTGTAAGTTCCTCAGGTCCTCATTTTACGACTGGGCATAAACCTAAAAGGTCTGAAAGATTGTCTGTCTGCTTATCTATCATCTATTATCAGCCAGCTGTGAGAATTTCCTGGGTGTGGTGTAATAAACTGCCCCAAACTGGAAGGCTTAAAAGAATGGAAATTTGTTCTCTTAGAGTTTGGAGGCCAGAAGTCTGAAGTCAAGGTTTTGGCAGGGTTGACTCTTGGTGAGGGCACTGAGGGAGAACCTGTTCCATGCGTCTCTCCTTGCTTCTGGTGACAGAAGCCTGACTTGCAGATGTGTCACTCTAATCTCTGTCTCCGTTGGTACATGGCCATCTTCCCCCTATGTGCCATCTCATCTTCCCTCTGTGCATTGTCTGTGTTCAAATTGTCCTCTTACAATCCATCCCTACTGGATTAGAAGTTGGCCCTGCTCCACTATGACATCATCCTACATTAACTACTTACATCTACAACAACCCACTTTCCAAATCAAGTCACTTTCAGAAGTGCTGGTGGTTAGGACTTCAAAATGTCTTTTTTTGGGGGGGGGGGGGCACGTTTGTGCCCATTATATGATCTATAAGAGAACACTTCTAAGGTGAATTTCAAAATATGCCATTCAATATTTTATCTGAAGATGAGTGAAACTTATTATCACATTCAAGAAAGTTTAATAAACCTAAGAAAACTTACCCAGGTTATAGGTGATTAAATTCACATATGAACATTTTTAAGTCCAAGAAAGATTTCCCATCTCTTTTACAGTTAATTATTTGATGACAGTTATCCTCTCTCCCAGGATCTGTTTAAATACTTTTTCAGGACCCAAATTTATTTTATGGCAATATTATGTACTTTTCTCACAGCTTAATATTTGGGGGAGGATTTAGTTTACATTGGCAATAAGAGACTTACTCCCAATTCATCACTGAGAATCCATTAGGCACTCACATGTCTGAGTGATAGACAACAACTCTAATTTACCTATAGGAAGACAGACTAAAACACCAGCCCTTCTGGAGAAATCCATATCTCTTTGGTGGTCAGGTACAGGACAGACTTAATACTGATAATAAACCTAAAGTGAATTGTTGTGTTTAGGCCATTGGGTATTTTAACAAATAAAATATCTTTATGGGAAATAAACATATAATAAAAATATTTTTAATTACCATATATTTTATATATGGATATAATACCATGCACTTTATATATAGATAACTACATTTCTTAGAATTAGTATACATTAAAAAACATATCGAGGTGCCTGGGTGGCTCAGTCAGTTGAGTGTCCAATTTCAGCTCAGGTCATGATCTTGCAGCTCATGAGTTCAAGCCCCACATAGGGCTCTGTGCTGACAGCTCAGAGCCTGGAGCCTGCTTCAGATTCTGTATCTCCCTCTATCTCTGCCCCTCCCCCACTTGTGTCCTATCTTTCTCTCTCTCTCAAATAAATACAAACATTAAAAAATTTTAAAAAACACGTATCAACCAAGGTAATAATGTCTGCAACTTACTTTCAAATAGTTAGACAATAAAAAAGTATGTGTGAGTATGTGTGTGTCCATAAGGGGAAAGAAAATATGGAAATATCAACAATTACTGAATTTAGGACAGTATTTCCTGCTGGTATTTCAGCATTTTAGTATATATGAAAATTATCATACCAAAAATTTGGGTTAAAACATACTTCAACATTGAGATCCTATTTTTCATACCTTAGCATTTCTTCTGGCCATTCAAAAAGCATTTCTAAATCACGCAGTTTCTAATTGTTATGATAAACATCAGTGACTGGCACTGAAGTGCCAGAAAACAGAAAATTATAGTCAAATCAACTTTGTACCTGGACATTTCCAGAAACAATATCCATTCATCTCATTCATTATAATTCATCTCAGTCATTATAATGATAAAGCTTTGGGGACAGTAAGAGGAAACAAGAGAGGGAAATGAATTAAAAGGCTTTTGTGGTCATGCATTTGTTTAATTTTTTTTCCACTTAGAATTAATGGTCCTTGTACTGAAGTAGTCATCAAATCTCTAGGAGAGGCATCCATACTTACCTCTTAAGAAAAAGGTAGCCTGTTTTGTAAATTTTTTATTTTGCAACAGTTACAGGTTCGCAGGCAGTGCCATATCTTATTGCCCATAAGTACTTCATTACCTTGCATGTAAGAACTAATTGATTGGCAGATATCAATGGGA